AACTTGGCTTGAGTACAGTTGACCTTTGTGTTGGACGCATAAGGGCTTGGCCTGAGACGGATATTGTTATGGATCTGTCATATATTTTTTTGGGGGTTGACTTACCCAAATCGTCAAGAGAATCAATGGACTCGTAGCGATCGCGTCTTTTATTGGATTTCGCCTTGTGTCTATTTCTGTTGAACAGGGCATCGAAGGCGTCATTGGAATCGTCATCGCTGGAGGAGGGTACTGGGGGAGGACGGTGTCTCTCCCTAGGTTTTGAACTGCCTTCATTGGGCAGTTCGTCGTCAAAATCTTTCCCATGGAATAGCTTCTGAAATATGTCTGCATCAATCGAAGACGAGTTGCTCGACTCCGAAGAAATGCGGTGACGCCGGGCCACAGCCGACGCTGACGCAGCTGCTGAGCGCCCCCCTTCACCACTTTTAATTGCTAAAAGTACGGCATTGTTAAACATTTTCCGCTAGAAATATTGCACAATAATTTGCGAAGGATTGCGGAACCCACCTGGCAACACCAAATCTTTGTACTCATCAAGATATTCTATATCCTCCATGTTATATGTTGTTTTCCTTTTCTATGCGTCGTCTGCCTCGCTTTCCGGATGTCCTATGCTTTGCAACTAATTTATTGAATTACTTCAAAACAATGATGCGTACAGTGTGGTTGGGATTATATCATTATAAAATTTTCATTGTACAAGCAGTAGACACCATAATTAATTATTTTTAAAGACACAATTCTAAAAAAAAAGCGAGAATGCTGCCGCTCAGTGTGACCGCGGACTTAGCAATAAAATGTATCGCTTGACCGTCAAAAATATACCAAAATATGGATTTTCATTTTTAAAATATACCGAATATCGTATAGCATATTTCTGGTTTTGGATATTTAGCTTAATATTACCAGCTAGTTAAGATTCTTAGCGCTAAAACTATAACTTAATCCGACAACCTCAAGACAATGCATTCTCTGGGAGAATGGTGTCCACAAAGCAATATGAATGATCTGATAGACAGGTATCGAAATGGGCTGAAGAGGGTATTAGACCAGCTTCGAACCATCTTTTTGGGATGGATATTTTTCCTTGTCGATATGAGTAATCTGACGTAAAAATATATTCAAAAAAGTCTGTTTGAGCGATTTTGGTGAATCAAAATCAACTTTAAATTTGTTTCAGGAGTCCCTCAAGTGTACCGGACATAAACATCGATAGTATCGATAGGCTTTGCAGCCCTGTCTGTGACGTGGAATGAAAGAAACGAAGAAAGCCATACGAACACGAAGCCGAGGCAAGCACGTCAAATATCACTTCGCCCCTTCACTCACATTTTCCAGGTCAGCAATCGTTTTGGTTTGCTCAATCAAAAGTTAAATATTAGAAAGAATGGTGAGTAAAAGCGACTGCAATGGGACTTATTAGTGACTAATTTGGCCTTCAATGCAGCCTGCTCCTGCTAGTTCAACGTCCGTCGGCAGCGGCTCACGCTCGCCCAGCAAACTTACCGCGCCACGTAGCGCCGGAGCTGGAGGTGGCAGCACGCTGAAGCAGCGCAAGACGACCACCAGCACCACAGCTGCCCGAAGCCGTGCTCCTGGTGGAGCCGGTACAGGCGGCATGTGGCGTTTCTACACAGACGACTCCCCCGGCATCAAAGTGTAAGTCGACTGAGCCCAGCTACAGGTTTATTTAAAGATTCGCCAGCTAATTATGACCCCTTTTCTCTTTGTGTGTTTTATAGTGGACCCGTTCCCGTCCTGGTTATGTCGCTGCTGTTCATTGCTTCCGTTTTTATGCTGCACATTTGGGGCAAATACAATCGTTCTTAAATCATTACGTTCATAGCAATAAAATACTTTCACCTCAACGAACGCGAGCAGCACTGTCGACGTCATCATTTCTTTCATACCGAAACGGCAGCGCCAGCAGCAGCAGCAGCCAAATCGTTGACAACAAAAATCATAATTATCTGCATTCCGCTTGTTGAGGCGTAGGTGTGGATGTGTTTTCCACATGAAACTATTATTACCTTAAGCTAAGTTCGTGCCCCTGCTGCGTCATTAAAAATATGAACGTAATATTTTCAAAATTTGCTAACCATTCGAACTGCAAATCTCGATCTCTCATGATGAGAGCTTCCGCTGTTTGCCGACTAAAAATCCATTCCACAATTTATCGTGGTCGAGTGCAGTAACAATTCCGCGTCTAACCGTTGCAATTCAAAATTTGTAAGAATAAACAAGTGTTAAGAACAAATAAATTTTGTATTAAACATTAACAAATTGCTAGATCCTGTCGTGAAGGGCATTCAGGCACTGAATCGACGTGCGGGCCAAAAAGTGAAGTTCCTTGAAATATTTCCCTCGCTGCTGGCACCGTCGCTCCCTATGATCCTGCCGACCACACAGAAGGCAGCCCGTGCGTGCCGGTTTTGCTTTCGTCTGCCAGACGCTGCACTTCGTCTCAATGTGTCCACGCTGACCACACAGCCAGCACAGCTGCTTGGTCTGATAGAAGGCGCAATCATGGCCCATGCGTTGCGTGCAGCGCCGACAGTTGTCACAGTGCACATAGTTGGGCTTGACGCACATATCGCATGCGTCGCAGTGCCTGTAGGTCTGTCCATTCTTCGAGGTGCACTTCTGGCAGCGCTCGCAGTGAGGATTATCACTGGCAGTGTGATAGGAACACTTTTGGCAGTACTTGTAGCCCTCCTGTGGCAGGTTCAGCAGTTGCAGCGGCACATTGGTGAACAGACGGACGGGCGATCCGCAGAACCGACTCCCCTTGCCAACATTCGTGTACCTCGAATGATTGGAATAGTTTATCCGGTAGTCGCTCATTTCCATTTCTGGCATTTCCTGTCTGATGTGGTTAGCCGAGAAGTAGGGAAATATCCAAAATATAGACAGCGGTGTAACGGGCAGATGGTTGATCCGATTGTGGCTTCGTCGCAGTGCGCGCAAGGTGTGGGCTATCAGTTCTGTGCGGCAGCCAAACGGAGGATCCGTCACAATTAGCAAACGGTCCTCGCTGGAAGTTCAACAATTGGATTTAAATAAACGTTTTTTTTTTCGATAAAACCCTTACCGAGAGCATTGCAGGAACTTTTCGAAAGGTTCACGCTTGTAGAAGAAGTGATTGTTGCACATGTTGTACAGGCAGAACTCCTCCGGGCCAAGGTAACGGGCGAAGCGATCATCCAGATCCAGCAGGAAACTCTTATAATTCGCACGCAGCCGAAAATGCAACCGAGGAGCGCCCATGCAGACAATCTTGCTGTGAGGAGGAAGATATATCATTGGAATCTCTCAATTATGTTGTACTCACGTTATTCCCAGGCAGTGGCACTGATCCGCCAAGAAGTCCAACGCCGCTTCATCAAAGAAATACTGAGCATTCACTTTATCCTGCGACAGAGCGAGTATACTCTTTGTGGGATCGGTATCAGAGGGATTCAGAACGTGGCCGGACGCTTTTGGATAGCTTCTTTCGACTGATACGTCCTTCAGACGATTATCCTCCCATTTAGCCGCTGCCATGTGGAAATTACAAAGTTTGGAGTCCCTGTGGGCCGAACAGGCAAAGTACCCCTCTTTGGGACGCTGCGATTGCCGATAAAACAGCACCGTAGGACCATGCTGGCAGCTGGGGTGTTGCTCTTCCTCGTCGGCACCGTCTTCCTGCACTTGCAGCAACAGTTTTTCATTTATGTTTTCCAGCATTGCCCCAACCCACGTTCGAAAAAGTAAACAAACAAGTTTAACCCATTGTCAACCATAGGGTACATGCGCAAATATTATTAAACTTGAAATTTTACTTGAATGTTCAGGTGAAAGATATGTTGCAAATAAAGGAGCAAGGATGGATATACGAGAAGAATTTACAATTAATAGTAACTTTAAACAGAATAAAAAAAAATGATTACGGATGCGGTATTTTTACCGTATATTATTTTATATATTGGTATATGGTGGGGTATTTGAGTGTGAAGTAATGTAGATGAAGATGACATTCATGTAGAACAAATATTTCATGTCATATTGCTACCAACTTTGCTTAGACCTTTATATGTATACAATCCAACAAAAGGTGTCCTAAATTTTAGAGAATTGATTGATGAATTGGATAAATTTATAGTTTTATTGCTGAGAGTCCTAACTAGGTGGTAATAATAAATAGAACATAAAATGATTTAAGATTACTGTATTATTACGTATATTTTGAAAATGCAAGGGCATATTTCGTTGTACTTCAGAGGGTCTGTCGGTATATAATTCTGCGGTCACACTATGACCATTTAGGCACAGAAGGGAAATTTCCCTGACCGCAGGTGAGAATTTCCCAGACCATCAAATGAAAAATTCAAATACAAATTAGTTAAATATAAGGTCACAAAGTACACTATTCAATAAAAAGGAGTATTTATAATAAGTTAAATTGATTCTTCAGATATCAAATAGAACATCAACTTCGAGGAATGTGATTTAAGACTATCTTATATTACGGTATATTTCGAAAATATGATGGTATATTTTGAAATCTTTTTGTGGGGCTTGCGGTATATTTTATCGATAAATCAGCGGTCACACGCACGTAGGGTAGGAAACTATAGTTTCTTCATGGTTGGAACAAAGATCAAAATGATATAAAATATATCACTGCAAAAATATCGATTTATTTGAAAATTTTTTTGCTTGTATATACTTGCTTAAATTCAATTCAGCGCGCAGCGGAAATAAATAGTTCCCTTAAATAAAACAGAAACAGATGCTGATCAAGAAAATATATTTACTTTATATATGTACATATGTACATCCACTTTTGTACACAAATATAATATACCCTATTAATTTATTTTGATCCTGTGGTTAGTTACCAAACATAAAATACGAAAAAAAATATAAAATATCACGATATAAATATATTTTTATTTTGAAAAAATATCGATATATTTATATTTTGAATTATATTTGACAACCCTACTGGATTATCATTTATCATCCATCATCCATGGTTCTTTCTTTCGAAAATTTTATTGAACTGGGTTGGATGCGTTGCTGCGAGAAAAACCAAAAAATGAAAACGACAAAGCATAGTTGGTCAAATGCTTTGCATTATAAGATGAAAAAAAGTTAAAAGAGCAAAAGGATTGCTGCAGAATTCATGGATTAAAAATAGGTATGTATAGAAATCAGATGCGTGAGTTTGCAATTTTATGATGAATGTTCTATTTCTGAAGAGTCGAGTGCCAGGTCTTCGGGCCTGGCATTCTTTTCCTGTAGAAAGAATAAGAACGGCCAACTGATAAATCATTTCACTTAAATAAATGCGTTAAACAATCGAATGGCAATTAAAGAAATGGATATTCTCTCGTTTCTAGATATGAGGCTCCCTGAGGCCGCCTCAACACGTGGTCTGGTTTGCCGGCTTTGCTAATATGGTAGGTACTCCTTGCTGTGTATAATGATTTTACAATTTGTATGTGATGATAAGTTCAATCTGAACAGAGTATTGTTGATTTTCAACTTAAAATTAAACCAAACGGATTCTGAAAAATAATTTTACAAAGCAACAGAGTGAAAATTTACAAGAAGTCTAATTTAACCTAAATTACTCCTCATTTTAGGGTAATTTTTCAACAAAGGGCAGCTTTTCATAACCTGGGAACTGGAAATATATGATGCAGAGGTAAGTTTCTTTTTGTTATTTTCTAGCGTCGTTTATGTGATGATAAGTTCAATCTGAACAAAGTGCTGTTGATCACCAACTTACAATTAAACCAAAAGGATTCTGAAATTTTTATATTATAAAGAAATGTGATAAAAGCCAACCTGAATGTGATACTAATCAATTTTTTCTTTAATTTGTAGCGCCACATTTCAATATGCCGTCAATTTAGTTGGGCGCTCGAATCGGAAAACGTGTCGAAGGTGGGTTCCGTTACTTCTTGTTTATATTCAATTACATGATGATAAGTTCAATCTGAACAAAGTGCTGTTGATTCACAACTTAAAATTAAACCAAAAGGATTCTGACAAAAAAAAAGATAGTCCTTTCCGTTTTATAACACATGGAAAATGGAACTTAACCTAATTTTTTTCTGTATGTTTCAGATGCATTTGCTGATCAGCCGCTTTTATCGTACCGCGGATGTGCTTTTTGGGTAAGTTTCAGCATTGGTTGAATAATGTATTAAATTTATATGATGACAGTAATTACCGTATGATTTTATTGATTTCAAACTTCATGGCTGCAATTATTGCAACTGATTATTTTTGGAATCAACGAAATCTGTGTGTTCTAGAGACATTTTATTAATAAGAGCATACATTTTTATTTTCAGAAATGATTCAACATGAAAACGGAACTGCCAAGACACAATTCTGGTTTTACCATGCATTTAATTAAGGTAAATATAAAGATGATATCCATGTAGAAATTGATACATTTTGAATATGATGATAGTAATTACCGTATGATGTCTTTGATTAAAACACCATGGCTGCAATTATTGCAACTGATTATCTTTGAAATACATGTCATTATTTGCCATGCTAGTCATATTTTATACTAATCAATGATTTTTCAATTTGCAGTGAACCTCTGTTAAAAGAAGTCTGAAATATGAACGGCTCCATTAGCAAGATTCTATATGGATTTCACGTACTATCAAGCTAGGTAAGTTAAGCTGCAACATACGTCAGACTGTAAAGCTAGTTCAAATATTTATATGATGAATACCTTTTATCTATTAACTTTCGTTCTACTGAGTAGAAAATGCGGAGAAATTTACCTGATTTAACTTAGCTATTATATTGATACAAAGTCAGAGTCTAAGTGATGTTAATAGCCATTTTCACGTCTTCTTTACAGTCCAAAGTCCGACATGGCCTGAAGACTTCTCTGGATTGTATTGATTCTACTGGTATGTGTTCTATATCAATCGCTTTACCTTAAATTCTTAAAATGATGTTACTTCATAGTATAGTTCATTAGAATTCCACATGTTACAACGTTTTCGAAGCTGATATTGTCTTCAAACAAGCTTCAGGCGTCCCACCATAGCAAATCTTATTCATTTATTATTTTTCTTGCAGCTCCAATGATTTGCTTTCCACCAGTCGGAACAGATGTAGCCATACAATGTTATAAGGAAGGTGCCGCCACGTCCATATCTATTGCCTGATATAAAGGTAGAGTTCTGGAAACTTTCTTACGATTTTTTTGTTGTAAAGCGTTTTATTTGATGAATATCCTAACTCAGGATTCCCTCTTCTGAGTAGAACCCTAAACAACCATGCTGTTCACTTTTCCCTGTCTGAACATAAAACGCTTAACAATAACAATTGTTTGCATATTAAATATTTATGAATTTGCCTAATGAATTATTTTACACTTGCAGATTGATCATTACTGTAGGATACGACACTTGCTTGAGTTCCTTTTGAAGTTTGAAGTTTGGAAAACATATTTAAAGGTAAGATCAAATTTCGGTTGAGTGAAAATTATACAATTTCTTTGATGAATATCCTAACTCAGGATTCCCTCTTCTGAGTAGAACCCTAAACAACCATGCTGTTCACTTTTCCCTGTCTGAACATAATACGCTACAAAAATATTATTGTGTATTTCATATTTTGTATTAAACTCGAACTATTTATTTTATTTGCAGGTAGCTTTAACGCATTTTGGACTCATAAATACATCAGAGAGGAGGTAAAATATGATTTCATTAATCTTGTTGCTCTTTTGAAATGATGAAGAAGCCCTTAGTGGTTTTATTTTCTTAGAATCTCAAACATCATGCTGATTTTGTCTTCTTTCCCCAACTGACACATCATTTCAATCGAATACTTGAATACGTTTATCAACACAAAGTTCTAATTATGTTATTTCTCTCTCTCTTGCAGGTTATTGTGTTACAGAATAAAATGTTGAAAATAAAAGTTAATTGAAAGTCAAACTCTTGTATAGAAATTATTGATATTTATGGTGTGGGAAAATCATAGCTGTGGGATTGTGGCTGGACTGTGGTTTCAGTTCTTGGTCTTAGTTTCTAGTTGTCAAATTATTTTAAGAATGAAATGTCTGCACGCCATCTACATTTCAACTACATTTTCCACTGGTTTCACAGCCAGGTGGCGCTCTTATAAAGTACATGTAGTGGGCGAGAATTGATTTCCTTTTCTGGGTGCAGGCATAAAAGCTGGGTGCTATGAAATTCTGGTGACTGCCATGAGGCTGGTGATTAACTTAAATTTTGGATTACATTTTCCTGGTGTATTAAATGTTAATGCAATTTTCTGATTATAGGTCACGTCTGTGGGTGGAACGGATTCAGAAGCTGAAAGGTTAATCACACCACACAGTCATACGCATTTCTCTGGGCATTCGGACTTCTCTGCATATTTAAAGCGCCGTCAAGGAAGTTTCAATTTATCACGCTGTGTTGTGTTGGCCATATAAGCGGAAGTTGTACTACCCAGCACTACATGACCTGCCAGCCGTATAAGTTGGCTGTGTGAGCAGCAACAATACCATCAGCAGCAGGCGCCGGCAGGGAGAGAAATGGAAAAGACGAAAAAGCAGGCCCACTTTCGGGGGGTGTCACATCTACTTTCAACATTGTGCACACATTTCATTCATTGAGTGCATGTCGGTGGGGCTCGAGAACAGAACACGAGCATATTTACAACCATAAATGAAATGTAGTACAGACAGAGTGCAAGAGGCACTTATGCGCTTTTATGCGATTTTATGGGACACTTTAAGCGACAGTTGGTTGCTTTTTATTAAGTTGTCTGATAATTATCTTGTGGTTGTGCAATCAAAACGCAATGAATTCATTTGAAAATCTTCCAATTCTACTTCAATCTCAAGTTATTTACAGCTTCAGTCCAGACTTCAGTTCGGGTAAAAGCAGCAATGAATGGCATTCGGAAGTCGTCGAACTTTTTGCACTCGATATGTGACGACAAGGACATCGCTGCGCTTTTCATTCCCCGAAACTGATAAAGATAAGGCCAAAGAGTCTGTCCGCGTCTCAAGCTTCTGGTTCGAGTGTGTTCTGGAGGAAACTTTGTCGTCCTGCCTGCCTGGCCCGGCGTGGCCCGTCCCCGGCGGTTTTTGCGGCCAACAGAACCAGAACGAGAGGAGTTGGCTAGTATTTTTGTGACAATTTATTTTCTGTGCTCTGGCATTTGCTTTTCAACAAATCGAAAAACTATTAAATTGGGCTGAAAGCCAGAAACTAAAAGAAAAATAAGATAAAGACAGAAGGGGAGAGGGAGCGATACAGAGAATACAAATAGAAAACAAAAATAATGAAAAGAACGAACCAATTTTTAACAATCTATTGAAATTTGTGTACTCTTTTTGAAGGATAAAGAAGGAAGTTATTAACCAATGCTATGGAAAGATTCTCTTTAGTTCTTATACCTGTGCTAGACACCTGGGATTTTCATAGGATAATATATGTTGCTTGCCAAAAGGGACTCCACATCGACAGCAGAGATTTCGGTTGATGACATTCGCGCAATTTGGCTGCAACTTTTCACCTCAGAAATGCTGCCACGACGACATCAAGTTAATTGGATGTGCTGTGAGGAGTGTGGTCATGGCCAGCAGAAGGGAGCTGTGAAACGGAAGCCTCGAATACGAACACGAATACGTACACCTGCCAGAGCGATTAGGATCTAAGTAAACGGCGTGGACGCACACATAGCACACAGAGAGGGCCACAGCTTGGGGCAGCATTCAACAATTTTGAGACGAGCAAACAGACGTTAGCACATGGTCGCGGTTATCTATAGATCTTTGAATATATATATACAGAACTTGGCACCTCTTTGAATGCAAATCCACAGCTAAGGGTATACCGGACCCCATGCGAACCCCAGGAAGGAGGAATGTGCTAAGGTGACACTAAACTAATTAAAAGTTAGCCTGGGCCCTAACCCATAAGGTCCATGGACGCATGTTTATTAGATTGTAAATTGTGCATTGAAATCACGTAAATGGTGGATCACGGAGGAGCAATTTAATCAGCACAACATCAGAGAGTGCGACTGCTAAGCCTGAATTTAATTTAGCAACATAACCAAATCAAAAAAAGTCGTTGTCAAGTGGAGGGACACAGCAAAAATTGCACAAAAACTACGTGACTTCAATTCCTGAAAAGTGCGGCTGAAAAAAATCAAATAAAGCGAAGGTGTATGGCTGCATGGCTGTGCCTGGTTTGCCTCTCTCCATGTGTCCATGTGGTCAGCCAACGATGGCGTTTTTTCGGTTGGCTCGATGCCGTGCACAACTTTTAATCCCTTGCACTTTTGTCAATGTCGCAGCCCAGCTAGAGTCAGATTTAGCATCTGTCCACTGACACAACAATAGAAAGAACAACAACAATTTGTTTCAGGCACCTTACGAATGAGAAACACCCTTGGATCTCATCGGACAATATGACTTTATCAGTCAGATTTTCTCTATTTTCAAGACGAATCGGACTGATACAATGCCACTTTCACTTGGGATACCCTAACAGAGAGGGTCACCATAAAAGCGAATTGCTTTCTGTTTGGGAAATAGTTTTTCACCACAAGCGAACTTCGGGTTTCCCCTGTGCGGTTCTGTGGCTAGAGCACGGCACAGGAAGATGGCCAATAAAATTAATTGATTTTGTGGTTTCTTTTTTGCAGTGCTGCAAAGTCTGAATGCTGCTTCTGTGACAGTTTGACCGCATTTGATTGACACCATATTGGGTCGGTTCCGAAAGGATTGTCTGCTGGATTTGGCCTGCTAAAGGGTAACCAAACCCGGCACATTAATTCGATTAGAAGCAGTGACACAAAACGATTTGAACGGCATATTCAGAGACTCGGCAAAGCATTTACCATTTTAGCTCCCAGGTAACATCTCATATCTCAACAATATATCACATTTAATTGGATAAAACAATATTGAATTAATTGTTCACGTTTGCGCTTCTACTGCTTGCTGCTGCTGATTGGAGTTGGCATCGCCAACGAACAATTGGAAACGTAAATGAAAACGCTTTCAACGCTGTTCCCTGTGCATCTGGCATTGATTTCCATTTTCCCATTTTCCCACTTTTATTAACAACCATTTAAGTGCAATGAAGTGAAATGCGAGAATCCTATATAAATAAATATATATTTCTCTAGTGTATTTTATTTTTGTCAGGGATTTCATTTTTATGGTGTAGATGGCATTTCATGGCTGATTTAACCCGGCAGCTCCCTAACAGTGACTGGGGCTGTGCTTCTCTGCCTGTGACTGCGGTTATGCCTGTGCCTGTGACTGTGACCGCTTTTGTTCCTGTTTCTGCCTCTGTTATTGCAGTTGTAATTCATTCTTTCATTGGTAGTTTTACAAGGTATTCGTGTATATACGTTCTGTGTTCGGGCAGAGGCTTTAGATATGGTCATGCATATTGGATGTATAAGCTGTCACCTAGTTGCTTGTGCGATTATTTCCGAGTTGATGGCATCTAAAACGGGTATCAGGTAGTCCGTATATCGACTCTAGCATACCATACTTCATTTTTTCATATGTCAGGGGCGTAAATGAAAACGCTAACGGGGCGTATGATTAATGTGGTTTACATATGAAAGCGACTCTGTCCTCCAGCCAGCTCTGCACTCTGTCTTTGTCTGTTTCTGATTCTGTCTCCTTTTTTTTTGCGCCTTTGTTGGGCTGCTGCTGCTGATGCTGCTGATGCTGCTTTGTTGTTGTTGCTGGAAGTGCTTATTCAATAATTTATTGCTGGCATCCTCAGCCACTTACAATGTCAGAAAAATATGCGCGAAATATGCATAAAAGTATTACATGCAGGCGTTTGTCAGCCGTCACCCACACCCACACCCACACCCTCCACGATCCACTTACATACAAGCAGAAAGTGAAAGTGTAAGCTTTAATAAATCACGAATCCAGGGATTATCAATTAATTGGCTTCTAACAAGTTGTACCATCCAATCAGCGGCTGATAAGAGTTACAGCATGTATTTAAGAAAGGCAACACTTTTATGGCAAGAATTAATGGAAATGGATGATTGGAACAGTGATCCATGATGGCTTATTTTATTCCGATTTTAACTGGCACTCAGAGGGCAACACATCACGAAACCTTCCCCAATGGATTAGGCAGTGCATTTGGATTTCTCTCTTATCAGTTGAGCAAACCAAACAGGAAACAATAAGCGCTCTGTGTGTATAATGCCTTCAATCCTTTCTCGCAGTGTACCTCCGCCCATAATTATACAATTCATTATCAATATTTGACACTTGAGCAATGTGACTGCAGCTTGAACTCGAACCAAACGGCGATAAATCTTCAGTCGAGACTTTACTCAGAAAGATCGCGGACAAGCGACAGTTCAGAATGAGCAGCTCGAGTGTCCAGAAGAAGATTGGGATCGTGGGTAGCGGCCTCATTGGCAGAGCCTGGGCCATGCTCTTCGCCGCGACGGGCTACACAGTGCAGATGTACGACATTCTGGAGAGTCAGCTGGTCACGGCACAGCAGGAGCTGGACAAGGAGCTGCACAGTCTCGAGGAGAAGGGTGCGCTGCGTGGACAATTGAAGGCGTCGGAGCAGTTGGCACTGATAGGGTTCACACAGCAGCTGGGGGAGCTTGTCCGGGATGCTGTGCACATTCAGGAGTGCGTGCCCGAGCAGCTGCAGCTGAAGAAGTCTCTGTATTCCCAGCTGGATGGTCTGCTGGGAGGCGGCACTGTGGTCGCCAGTTCAACGAGCACCTTCATGCCTTCCCTGTACAGCGAGGGACTGCAGAGGCGACAGCAGGTGGGCAGCTTTCATAGCTTTGATGATATTATCACACATTTACTTATGCCTTTCAGATGTTGGTGGCCCATCCCCTGAATCCGCCGTACTTCATACCCCTGGTGGAGATTGTGCCCGC